TTTTTTTTTTTTTTTTTTTTTAGCCTTGTGATTGTGAATTTATTTCTCGAATTAAATGAAACAAATGACAGGGAGAAAAGAGGGAGTGAAACCGACGAGAAAATAAATAAATAAATGACGTGAGATGTTAGGCAGCAACGTTTTCTCACGTGCGTCTGGGTTTCTCTGTTCGAAGGCCTCGATCCTGCCGAGCCGCATTTCAGCAACACGTCGACGATGGTTCGCCTCGATCCAACGGACGCCACGTTCGTCACGGCCGTCCACACCGATTGCAATCCTTTTATCAGCGGTGGTTTCGGTATCACTCAGCCTGTCGGCCACATCGATTTCTATCCGAACGGTGGCCGCACTCAACCTGGTTGCAACGAGGGTGTCCTCAGTTCTATCACCCTCGAACATGGCAGTATCTTTCGTGGCAAGTACCTTTCTTTTCTTCAAGTATCTTCATTTTCATACATCTATGCATTACATTACATTCTTTCATTACATTATTTTCTTACATTATTTTTATTACATCATTTGTTCTGTTACATTTAGTGCGTTATCTTCTATACATTTTTATTTCATTCTATTTATTTCATACATTTTATCACGTTGTTTTCACATTATTGTTGTTACATTACTTTCATTGTATTTTTATTACATTATTTATTACATTACTTTCATACATTTCTACTCTATTCCATTTATTTTATATATTTTACATTTTATCACGTTGTTTTTATTACATTACTTTTATTGCATTTTTATTACATTATTTTCATACATTTTTACTTTATTTCATTTATTTTATACATTTTACATTTTATTACGTTGTTTTTATTACATTACTTTTATTGCATTTTTATTACATTATTTTCATACATTTTTACTTTATTTCATTTATTTTATACATTTTACATTTTATCACGTTGTTTTTATTACATTACTTTCATTGTATTTCTATTACATTATTTATTACATTTATTATATTATTTTCATACATTTTTATTTCATTCATTTTATATATTATACATTTTATCACGTTATTTTTATTACATTATTTATTACATTTATTATGTTATTTTCATACATTCTTGTTTCATTTATTTTATACATTTTACATTTTATCACGTTGTTTTTATAACATTACTTTCATTGTATTTTTACTACATTATTTATTACATTATTTTCATACATTTTTACTCTATTCCATTTATTTTATATATTTTAGATTTCATCACGTTGTTTTTATTGCATTACTTTCATTGTATTTCTATTACATTATTACATTATTTTCATACATTTTTACTCTATTCCATTTATTTTATACATTTTACATTTTATCACATTATTTTTATTACACTATCCATTACATTCGTAACATCATACGTACAACTCATTGTATTTTTATACTTCATAATTTGAACAATTGTCGCAACAATGTTCCAAACATTCAACTAAATAAATCCGTAGCCCGATCACTTGCCATTTGCCATTTGTACGAAGTAGATTTTTCCAAATTGAAATTGATATGAGATGATTAACCGCCGCAGGTATAAGAAGGTTCGTCAGCTGCAATCACATCCGCAGCTACGAATACTTCATCGAGAGCATCAACACGAACTGCCCGTTCCTGACGGTGCCGTGCGTTTCCTGGGACAAGTTCCTCGATGGTGGCTGCTTCGACTGCACGAATCAATACTGTCCGAAGTTCGGGCTGGACGCTCAACCAGGGAACTACCACGCGTCCGTTTACCTGATGACTGGATCCAGCAAGCCATTCTGCAGTTAGTATACCACCCTCACGCTCACCCTATGCTCGAGTCTTCCAGTATAGACGTACGAAGACCGGCCGAATAAATTTCCAGAAGGCCATTACAAAGTCATCATCAACGTCTCGATGACGAACGAGAGCGTGGACCACGGTGGCGAGGTTGGAACGTTCGCGGTCAAAGTGGTCGGGCGAAATGGCAAGAAATCGGAGAGGATGCCGCTGAGCTCTCAATCGATGTACTACGAGCCAGGTAGCAATCACACGGTGGTGCTTGCTGGCGACCTGGTCGGCGAACTCGAAGCCGTGGAGATCTCGTGGGAGTACCGTGCCTCGGTTTTCAATCCGCTCACGTGGAGGCTTTTGCACACGCCTCGCGTCTACGTCGACTCGCTGACCATCGAGAGTCTGGAGGCCGCTTACCGGTATGTGGATTGTCCTTCAACTCGCGTCTAGAAAAATTTCTTCATTTCCAAGCTACTGTCGAAATCCTTACGGTTTGTACGATCGTTTCGAAGTGTTGTGTTTGTTATCCGATCTAGGATCACCGTGTGCCCCGACGAAACGAAGACTCTGATCGCCAACGAGCCGAAAATCTTCACCACTGAGAACTGTCGCTTGCCGGACCGTCTGAACGTTGTACCGACGTAGACCGTTTCGTATATTTTCTAAACGCAATGACGACAAGTCAGAATGTACGCAAGTAGAAATTCGAAAAATCTCGAGTTCTATTACTTACAAGCGAGCGATTTTTAATTAACGAAATGAAGAAGGAAACTTCGAATCAATCTGTTGTAAATGAATTATTTTCTTGTTG